CTTACAAAAAATATATGACGCCTCTTTTTTACAATAATTATTACAACAGTCTTGAACTTTGTATGCTGTTCAGCCTGTTAAAATGGCCTCTGTAGACACGAATGCCATAATCATATAAAGTAGCACTGTAAAACAAGAGGCTCATGGGCCACATCGCTCACCTGAGTAACATTGGCTATGCTGTTCTTTACCAGATTTCCCCCATGTACATTTGAAATACGTATCGTGACCCTATCCTACTCCTTGGGGTGGTGTTCGGACAATGTAGAATACACTAAGACAGGAAGTAATAATTTGAACAATCTAAAATCTACACTATGTATTTCAATGTAAAACTTGGATTCTCTGTTGTGACCCGCCCTGTCCTTAGGGGTCATAATTTGAACAATTTAAAATCTACACTTCCCCAGGATTCTTGTATAAAAGTTTCAGCTTTTCTGGTCCAGAGGTTCTTTAGAAGAAGATTTTTAAAGGTTTTCCCTACTTGTCAAACTTGGATTCCCTATTGTGACTCCGCCCTTACCTCGGTGGTTATGATTTGAACGATTTAGAATATACACTACCCTAGGATGCTTACACATAATTTTCAGTTTTTCTGGTCCAGTGGTTCTTGAGAAGATTTTTTAATGACCCCACCCTATTTTCGTCTTTTCTTGATTATCTCCCCTTGGAAGGGTACTTGGGACTTGTTCCTTAATTTCAACAATTTTAACTCCCCTTCACCATGTTCACCCGAGGATCTCTGTATGTGCCAAGTTTGCATGGTTAAATTGGCCCTGTGGTTCTTGGGGACTTGAAAATGTGAAAGTATACAGACGAAAGGACGGACGGACGACGGACAATGGATGATCAGAAAAGCTCACTTGAGCTTTCAACTCAGGTGAGCTAAAACATAAAGGACCATTAATAGAAGCAAGAGGCTCATGGCCCTTACAGGTCAACTGATCATCATGTAACAACTTTCCAATGATTGCATTTGGTTCATGTATTAAGCTAGATCCCATGGCATTCACAATTTTGAAAGAGGCACCATTGCTCATCATACAGCACGTAGCAACAGGCCTGGCCCCCCTCATACACGAAATAGAATTTTCGACTTTGGGCAATTTTCCTTTCCCTTTTTTTTCCCTCGTCAACTTTTTCAGGTAAGTGAAAAAACACTTCTGTCGCTGCCCCCCCCCCTTTCAAAATCGATGCTACGTGCCTGTCATAATCATACACGAAGCAATTGCTAAGTTTGGTTACTTAATACCCATATATAGGCAGGGTAGGGGAACAAAAATGCATTTCAACTAATCAGTAATAATCAGCAATAATCAGTAGTGCCTCCTCCACACAAGAACCCCTGTCCCTAGGTCCACACTTTTACAATTTTGGAAAAGGCACCATTGCTTATCAAAAATGTTTGATTAATACCAAGAAATAGATTTCAAACAATTAATTCATTTTCAGTAAATAAGTAGAGCCCCCCTCTATAGTATCCCTGACCCAGGGGCCTTAAAATTCACAATTCTGGAAGAAAGGCTCTTGCTCATTATAGCTATATAGGAAGTTCATCTGCTTAATACCCAGGAGAAGAGAAAAGATTTAATGTATATTTTAACTATATAATCAATAGAGCCCTGTCTAAACTCCTGACTCTGGGGCCATAAAATTCACAATGTTCTGAAGAGACATTCTTGCTCACCATAACTATGTATACGAGGGTTGTCCCGTAAAATCGTGGACAAAACGTTTTTCTCGAAAAGTAATGGGCGCACTAAGCTGAAAATTTCAGTAAATGTTTATTTATCATATTTAAGTGCATGATAATTTTTTTGATAAAATATAGGCAAATATAAAGATTTTATTATGCTGGAATGTGCACGGGGTATTGTCCTACGGCGCACGGACAAAAAACCAAAGTTTTATTAAAGAATACACAAGTCTGAATTCAAAATAAAAGTTTTAAATACATAAGATTTGGATTAAAATTATCCTAATTCAATTCCACAATCAATTTTGTAGTCTTTGTAAAAAAATTAAGGCATTTGGTTAATTTTTGGCAGTTTTTCGAGCATTCGAAATGGGAAAAAGGTAAACACAACACACGAAAAATGGCGACGTTTTATGACGTTACGGCGCACCGGAGAGCAGTTCCGTTTTAATTCGATGTTGTAATGACACCTTTAGAGACTTGAAATGACCATAGAAGAAAAAAGATTATAAAAATATCACCATATCTTAAGTATACAAATGAAATAGAAATTTTCTTAGCGAAGTCTTATTTGATCAAGTCCCTGGGGAGTACAAAACATACGGACAAACTCCTAATGTAATAGCAAAAGACGTTGTCACAGTAGACCGCCGATATGAGATTTTCTATTAATGAATGATGGTGAGAATATTGTCCGTAACGTACTGATAAATCTTCAGAAGATCGCATGAGGGTGCCAATTGGTTCTTCGACTGTTTATGGAGACTTGAGAAAGTGTGTCAATGAAATTCCTTAATTTAAGTCGGACTCATCCAACTTCATTTTCAGCAAAGATAAAACGTGACGCTGTTTTAGACATTTTGACGTTATAATCCATGCGCCGTAAGGTGATACAATACATGGCATAAAATCACATAATTTGTTTATTTATGCATATATTTATCTGAAATTTGCTGTGTATGTTACTAAAATATGTACTAAATAATAGTGAAAATTTCAGAACGCAGTGATGTTTATTTTTTACACTAGACAACTTGTCCACGATTTTACGGGACAAGGATTTACTAAGAGCAGAAGATTTTCAAAGAATTAATGTTAGTATTTTTACCATATCATCAATAGAGCCCCGCCCTAACATCAGAACCCCTGCCCTGGGGCCATAACATTCATAATTCTGGAAGAGGCATTCTTGCTCATCATAACTATGTACTTAGTCAGTTTATTTAATTAATACCCAGGAGCAGAGAAGAAGATTTTCAAAGAAATAATGCATTTTCATTGTATAATCTATATAGCCCCGTACTAGCACTAGAACCCCTGACCCTGGGGCCATGAATTTCACAATTTTATAGATGACTCAATGCTCATTGCATTCATGCTAACAGTTTGACTGCTTGATGCCAAGGAGTAAAGAAGATTTTTTAAATGTTACATTAATTTTAATGGTTTTGGCCACATCCCTCGGGCATCATTGGGAAGGGGGGGGGCAGGGACTGTGAAATTCACAAGTTTTGTTCCCCTTTATCCATAGATGACATATGCGAAAATTGGCTGAAATTTGTTCAGGGGTTTCAGAGAAGAAGCTGAAAATGTTCAAATGTTAACACACGACGCACGACGACGGGCGAAAACGGAAAGCAATAGTTCACTTGAGTGACTCAGTTGACTTAAAAAATAAGGTCATTGTTAAAGGAAAGGTCAAGGGTAAAAAACATTGATGCAGTTGAATAAATCTCATCATTATGTACTGGTATCAGCATATGAAGTGTGATAAAAATATATTGAGTAACTTTTTCAAAACAGAGCTAAATACAATGTTGAGCCGAAGGACAAGATGGAAGGACAAAGGAGCTGAAGGATGTAAACGGACATGATACATGTAAACACTATTATATAACAGAAACATATTTATTGCAGGGCATAAAGATAACTTGTCCTTGAGCGTAACCATACATACGTGTAGCTACTAATGGCCTTGCTATGTATGGTCGTCACTTACTGTGAAGACCGAAAGAGTTATCTCCCGTGCAATATTTAAGACACCAGATAAATAATTTACAAAGCTGTACCAGTTACGAACTCAAAAAAGAAGCACAAAATAAAATAAATAAATGTATATATATAATTTAAAGCTACTTTCCGTTACATAGTTTGATAAGCTCTGTCGATAATGTGTAGAAATTTTGTATTTGTATGCTCCTTCATTTGAGACACATAAGAAAAGTCATATTAAAAGAATTATTTCGATAAACTAGTAAAATTAAAACTAAAATCTTTAATTAAGGTTCATGCACAGTTTATGGAAGCAATTTCAATCACTAAGTTAAAAATTATTCTTTATTTATTGAAGTAATATATAATTAAATTTATAATTAAATGGATGAAATATGTCACTCTTTTTTCAACATACATGTATGGCATATACTGCTCTAGAATGAACTTGCTCCAAAAACTTCAACCTGATCACCCATCCATAATATGATTGAATGATTGATTTTATATCGTTTAACGTTCCTCTCGAGAATTTTAATTTTCACTCATATGGAGACCGCGCCACCACTTGCCGGTGGAGACCTGCAAATCTTGTCCTTTACTCGGTACTCAGGGCCATTCATAAATGTGTGTCATATTCAGCATCCGAAGGAAGTTCACCAGTGTGCATCTTTAGATGTTTCATTCATGCAAGTTTGCTCCACACAGGGGGAGCTCGGTTACTTGGAAATGAGACATGCAAAAAAGCTAACCTTTTCAGTTTTCACTCATTCAGAAAATCTAGGTCAAATTCAGTATCCGAAGTAAGTCTGGTAGTGTGCATCTGTAGATGTGTCTTGCATGCAAGTTTGATTATCATAGGACTCATAATTTCTTGGAAATGAGACCTACACCAAAAACATTAACCTATTCACTCATCCGGAAAATGTAGGTCGGATCCAGCATACGAAGCAAACCTGGTTTTAAGCATCCTTAGATGTATCATCCATGCAAGTTTCGTCATCAATAGGACTTATAGTTACTTGGAAATAAGACCTACCCCAAAATGTTAACCTGCTCCAATAACATTAACCTGGTCATTCCTTTGCTGAAATTGCAGCATCTAAAACCTTATCTGGTACAATGAAACACACTAAAAGTATCTTGCATGCATGTCTGATCAATGTAGAGCATAGAAGTATTTTTAAAGAAAACTGCTCCAAAAACCTTAAGCTTGGACGCCGACACCAACGCCGAGAGTATCACATAAGCTCCCCCCAACATCGTTGAGGTAAGCTACAAACTGTTCACAATTCTGTTATACTTAATATAATTTTATGATCATAAATCTTTTAATATCAAAATATATTTTACACAGGACATGTAACTGATGATGTAAATGTTTTTTAAGGTTTAATGTACATTCCATGCATTGTATACTCTCTTAGAATAAGACTTCTAAAGCACATCATTCTAAAGATTCGAAACACTTATTTTCAAATTCAAATTAAGCACATGTAATAAATATAAATCACTATTACGATAGCTAAACATTTAGAGATCTAATTAATTGACAACAAATACAATTCAGTAACTAAGACTTGTGTCAAAAGAGGATATAAACTTTGGATTCGCTTTCTCTGAGTATTTGAATGAGTTTGAAGATGTTGGCAGCGTATATGGTCTTTCAAACATAAAGTCGCTATCCAATTTATAACCTCCATTCTGAGTTCCTGAGTGTTCAACGTCATACTTCAAACGTGAGATTCGATGAAGTTTTGGCAAAAATACAATTAAAGTCATGAGTGTTGCGCATGTCAAAATTCCAATGCATACAATCACTTCCGCCCAATTGCGCGGCAAAACAATCAAGGTGACAACCCACGCCACCCATATGGGAATGCACAACCATGAGTAAACCATGATGAATTTAGCTTCTCCCATGTTCTTTGTCTCTTTGCGAACGAAAATGGAATATATTGCACAGAGCACTATCAAAAACATAACAAACACTAAATACTTGACAAATTCAGTCCTGTCAAATACGCATGCGTACTCTGGTTGATTTTCTTCATCTAGCCTTGTGCGTAGAAAGCCTAACTTATTTTCCTCTATGTACCAGAAGTGTACTCCAACCGCAATTTGAACACCCGTAATGAATAGCACCGTTAGAAACTGGTTCACGTTGGACAACTCACCGCCCAAACCAATCAGCTTGTAGGATCTAAGCGACATTATTTTCGCCATTACTGTTGCAAAAGACAGGGTGTAAGCAAAACCAGGAATGAAAAATCTTGTAGAGCAGACGATTTCACTGGGCGTGAATACAAACGGAAGTACAGATAAAAACAAAAATATTATGGAAAAAAGCAAAAGTATGCCCAGACCAACGTAGCGTTTGGATAAAAGTCCGGCGCACACTTTATGAAAAACGTAAATAACGAAACACAGCGCTGCGAATGCTCCGCCTATTCCGATAATAAGCACTATAATGGTCCATAACTCTTTACTGAGCTCTGCTGTAGATTTGAAGAATTCTAACTCCATTTTGGCGTATGGATCCACGTGCGACACCTCTTCTGTCGCATTTTCTTTGTCCTCCAATGCGACACAACGGCAGTTACTGAAACACCGAGATTGCTGGCCTTGAAGAATTCGGCCATTTGTGTCAAATATACCCAGTGGATCCATATGCAAAACTCCATCCGAGTAGTTTCCGATCTAAAAAGAAACATTTTTATTGTAACTGATCTAAAGTTCCATGTAATAATGCTTTCAAGGTTTTCAAAACGTTTCGTATCTTTGAATTTTCCAAAACATTCTAGTTTTACAATCGATGCTGAACAATTTCAGACCTACAAAATGGCTATTAGATAAATGTAACAGTCAACATATATTTCTGAAAATTTGTAAAAGAAATGTATTGCATACTTACATCAATAAGTGACGTTCCTTTGAAATTCTTCACGGTGAATGCCCAAGACTCGAGATTTTTAAAAGAAAAATCTACCTGAATATCATTAAGATACCTAAATGATATATTGTAGAAATGCTCACTCTGAAGTTGAACCCCTTCACTGGCAAACGTCTGACAGATTCCATAATAGTTTGGACAAAGTTTCTCGAATCTGTTGTGAAGAGCATGGAGCATGACGTCAACGCCAAACACAATTTTTGAAGCTTGCAGAAGATCAGCTTGAGCTTCACACTGAGGTGAAATACTAGTACATGAAGACAAAGCTTCTTCATATTCTTTCTTCCATGGATTGCGTTTGGAAATGGAAGAACCATCAGAGATATCTTTTATCAAGTCTGTGTTAAGTTTTCCAACACGCTCAATAGCAATGATCCGCACATTGTTTGGAAGCACAAAGTTTGATATGTCATTCCAAGATGGTAGGATTTCGCCTATAATAAACGAATGTTCCTTAGGTGTGGATATAAGTGATTTAAAAAACGTTCTAATCTCCATTATATTTGCCAAAATCACGGTTACTGTTAAGGTTGGTTCAGAAGAACCTGTGTATCTATGGATTGATGATACACTTTGGACACAGATATTGAAAGGCTTGCATGTCAACAAAAAATCATTGACCACAGAATCAAACACTGAACTATTAGATCGAACAACGTCTATATAAGTCCATTGCGTTGAATTTAGAATTTCTGCAATCGTGCGTACACCAGCTTTGGAATGAATAGAATAAAACCTGGAAGTGACATCATCTGATGTAGATGGCAACCCATCGCCTAAAGCTAGAGAAGTCTTCTGATATTTATGCAACGTTTCCTCTACTTGATTTGTGGGATTTCCCGTATATGCGGATACATACATTGTTAGCATTTCTGGTCCAGCTATCATTCCACTATCGTTGTAGCTTTCTCGACAGGTTTCAAAGTTCATGATTCGTTGCACCGCCATGTTGGCATCCGAGCAGGTATCCAAAATGAGGCTGCCCAGACGAACACCCGGAAGAAGGTAGGGATATCGTTCTTTGGATGATTCGAGCGCAAATAGAAAGGCGTCCATCATCATGTCTGCTCGTTTATCCGTCGCCAAAACATCGCAATATGATGAAACACTTGCATGAACTGGAAATAGTCCTGCGACAACTATATCTCCCGCATTAAACACGTTGTTTGAACTTTGGATTGATGCTGACTGACACCCTAGACACTCTGGACACCAGTCTGGACAATGATGAACGGCAGTGTAAGGAACGAAATCTGAATTGTAGGCTTTGAATTCATTTCCACTGATTGAAAGATTACCATCCTTCTCGATATGCCCAATCTTCAAAATAAAAAGGTACTGGCTAGAAATAGAATCATGTCATTTTATGAGACCAGGTTAAAACAGTAGATAGCTTTTTTCCAAATTACATTTTTGGAAAAACAATGATAGCATTATAAGTATCAGACAATTTGGTCTTTTTTCTCTCGTTGACAAATGGGCATTTTTTTTTAGAATTAATTTAATTACTACATGTAAAAATAAATTGAAATCAAAATGTTAACGAAAGTTAAATCCAATTATCGCTTGTCTTTCTTTAAAGCATATGTACTTGACCAATTTACCTTGGATGTTGACCTGTACGAGGAATTTCCGTGGAAAATAAAAACATCTTTATTTGTTACAAGTTCACTGTACGATTTGCCATTTTCTTCACTCTTCATCACAGACAGATATTTTGACAAATCGACTTGGTTAGTCAGACTGTTACATTTCCCTTTTTGTAATGGACAGACGTCTTGGTAGTACCTATCTAATGTCAAAACCACCGCCTCCACCGCTTGTCGTATGACAGACATCTTGGAGGTGAGTATTGTATCGTTTGTAAAAGTTGAAACAGACGGACAAATATCCGGATAAATCATTTCTGGGTGTACCGTCAGGCTGCATTTGTATCTGTTTTCGTGGAAGCTTCTGAGAATCGAATGTGTACTATTTACATCAGGGCTTAAATATTGTACTGCTGAAACAATATCGTTCACTACATTTTCTGATTGCAAAATGGCAATTGTGCCTGGGTATTTGATTATATTCTGATTCCAAGGAAATATGACAAAATTAGCCCCACTGAAAGCATTTTTAATGTTTAATAGGGCATTATGAAGATGGGATGTGTCTTTGGCGTTCGTCAACAGAATGAAAGCCCCTCCGTTTGATTTTGTCAAAATCCCTTGCAGTTTTACTGCCAGATCTGTCAAATTTCCGTTTCCTGGTAATGATATTTTATTTGACAGACAAATATCGTTTCCTTTTAGGTTGACGTAGTTTTCAAATGCTGTCAGTAGATTTGGCTCTGAATGTGAATACACAACGTTTATGTACGTCCATTTTAGTGATCGAAGTACGTCCACTGATGCACGTACGAACTGCAAACTGTCAGGGCTCCCTAACGACACCCCTAAGGATGACATAGAGAAAAGATTTCCGGAAGGAAGAGAAATATGCGAGAGCAATTCATCATCACCTACATAGTTAATATCTGCATATACATCTTGTTCATTCCCCATAGATTTTCCTCGACAAGTGTCAGAAATTACGCCTCCTAATCGAACATTTTGTAAAACCTTTGGATACCGCCTTTTCACGTCAGATAACTCGTACTTGAAAGCTTCTTTCATAATAACTCCCTCTGATCTCCATTCTCCGCAAGCTTTTCCAAACTGGGAAATTTCTGTGAGTGGATACTCTAATCTTATGTTCACATCTCCCTCTAGCACAGCGATGTCACCGTCAGTAGGTGGCGCAGTGAGTCGTGTACAGTTCACGCATGAGTAACCAGAACAGGCGCCCTCTGACGGGACTTTAAGTTGATTCCATATTTCAGTATTCTTTATCTCTATTTGTCTGCCTTGTATCTCTGCTACAGTCTGTTTAAAACAGTTTTATGAAATATCAGATAAAAAATAAAGGTATTACAGTAACAGTATACTACATCATCAAAGTCTTTCATTATGGATAGAAATATTGGCTATAACCAAAACAGTTTCTCACATTTCTTAAAACATAGTTTATAACAACAAATGCTTTGAAAATTCGTCAATTCATTTGAAAAAAGCCTTTACGCTGCACACTATACTTACGATGTATCCACGATTGATAAATGATGTCACTTCTCCTCCATATTCATTCACCATCTGGTACTTCCCTGTAAACCTCTTGCTATCGTCAGAAAAATCCGCATGAACTGCCTTAAATTCTATAATCGCATCACATTTAGAGAAATCAGACTTTGTGCAGTTGTTTGAATAAAAGTGCTTCAGAATGTCCTGGGAATTTGTAAATGCTGATATTGTGGCCTCAACATCCCTTCCAACAAATCGGGAGGGTAAATATGTTACAGTACTTTGTCCATTGCAAATTCCCTCACTTCCATTTATATTACAGTTGTTTTGTTCTCGGTATAGATTTAGCATCGTGGAATTTTTTGACATGTCTTCAATCTTATTTTTCACAAACTGCACAAGATTCGATGACGTATTAAGGTGTTCGAGGTATAGAAATGTGTCCGTAAAATTTGAAGTCAGTTCTTCCCAATGATCTGACGTCACCATGACAACACTTTTAGAAAAGGCCATATTAGATGTAATTGCATCATAGCTGTCATCTGCCGACACAAATAAAATCACGTGAGGTGGTAAAGGATCATAGGATTTAGTGTTTTCATACGTAAAGGAAGATGTAATGCAAAGAGAGTATGGAGAAGCCATCTTCAGAAATAGATCACGTGATGCAATAGCTGATGGATGATTGGACGATATCACAGCAAAGTTGTTCCAGCCAAAGTTTATAACTATGTTGATAATGTCCTAAAATCAAAGTAATCTGAGATTAATAAAAATAATTTGTGCTGCCAACTCTTTAGATCACGTAATGTTTAGTGAATTTCTTACCCTTATTTTCCAAGGAGAGACCGTGCCAATGTCTATCTCTAAGATATCCTGACTTGACACATGAGCTGTCTGATTAATATGAACATGAGGAATCCCAAAGGGTCGCAGGAAGTGAGAAATATTAGATCGAACAGACGGGTTCCCATATGATATGACACCTATGAATAAAACTGATGTTCATTAAAGCTTGCCAATGTTAGCAAAAAAATATATGCATGCTTTTGGTATATTTACTGCATATGGCTTTAGGAATCACAGACTGATGCAATTGCTTGTAAATGTTTGAGTTGTCAGTAAAACTTTCACAGAAAAATACAATATTATAAGTCTGTGCAAAATATGATATCGGATAAAAATTATTTTTTAATTGTTTATTTTAAAACAACTTGCTTGATATGCTGGTGTTTTCCGAGACAAAGACAAATCCAAGGATGAGCAATGTCCGTTTGACGTCACCACAGGTGTCATAAACCAATAAACCTGTAAATAACAAATCTAAAGATTCAAAAACCCCACGTCAAAAATTTCAAGATATCAAATTTAGAAAAGGCTTATGACAATAGTAACAAAATATCGTAAAAAATTGTGACATCTTCATGCATATCATTGCTACAAATTGAAGACAGGCATACATGTTTACAAAATGAAGCATTAATATTTTTAAGAATTAAAGTATAAAATTCTCTTAATTTTCAAAAAGTGCAGTGTATGTTCGAAGTCAATATTTGTTTTGTAAATGTCTTGTAAATTGGTCCAAAATACCTGGTTTGATACTTTTTTCATTATTGACCATTTCCTGGTTTAACCATTCCAGAGTAAAAGTCAGCTCAGCCGTCCTGGGTGAGAATTCTGTACACACCCCGTTATCATCAATAGATCTGTGGATATCCATCAGTACCAATACGGCTGGGTCGCCATGCGAGGCAAATACGGGTGGATACGGTTCACTACATTCGCAAGTAAAAAATGCCACACCCCAAACCAGGGTCAGCTTCGCCAACCAACCGTAACTCAGCATGCTGACCTTAGTACAGGTGTCCTCACGTCATTTTTGAATTTCTTCTATATCTGCTGAGAAAATAATCAAAGATTATAAATTTGCGGTCTGAACAAAAACTTGCATTTGCACTAGCTTTGGAAACAGGGTTATGAGATGCTACCAGTATAATGTTCCTGATATTGAGAACCATCGTGTAACCATGGTAACACATCGTAAGTACAAAAGTGTAGACACGACATTTATGAAACTGGAGATAAAATAACAATTGTGCTTACTTAACACTGGACTTATATACATGTCATTGTGTCTAAAATCAACTTTGAAGTTAGATTAAAAATAACTGTTAACAGCGAGTTACATAAATCGTACTTATTTTACTTACAGAATAAATTTACTCCTTAGATATATCGTATATGTCTTGGGTAAAGACATACACAGGTAGGTAGCGAGGTATAAACTCATTACTTACATCAGTAGACATGTATACGTATTGATTTTTGTCTTTTTAAATCCTAGTCGATAATTATGTGTAGTTGATAAAGATATACCAGAATATGGTCGTGTGTCATTTGTTTGTTCCGATTCTCATCTCGTTATTAATTTTTATGCACGTATGTCAAAGTTTGTATTTAAATATTTAAATTCTTCAAAACACGAGATATACCCATTTTAAGCAATTATCTGTATTCATGGTATTGGGGAGTGGTAATCATATGCATGCAATATAAATATACTTTAAAGAACTCAGGCTACTAACGGGTGCAAATTAACTGAAGACATGAATAAAACATGCGATATGTGCAGAGAAGGAATTTCTGAATTAAGGAGTGTTTTCAATACATCTTTGATACAGATCAACGATTCTTTTGAACAGGGCTTTAAGCTCGGAATTTGAAAATAACCACCCTTTTTCATAAAATTACAGTTGACGAACGTACGTCTTATTCTGTGCCTCGGTCAATATACGAACTTTCATGATCTGGGCATATAATGATACTGTAAATGGAATGACTAAGCATTCTGTCTCATTGTGAAGAGGTTTATCTCTGATGGGAACAGAACTTAATATTAAAAAAAAGCCGACACATTCATGTAAATAATGGTTATATTTTTTAATTGTAGCATATTTTGAAATATTTCTAAATATGATAGCCAATCCTAAGTAAAGTTACATGCAAAACATTTAATCATAGAAGACCCTCTACAGTTTCAATATGGTCAGGCAATCTTAGAAAACATCTTTTTTTCCACAGCAGCTGTTCAATATTTCATAATAAACTGAAGTTAAGTTTGGATATATTAACACTTTTCAATAACAATGCCATTTAATAAGAAAACATTGATTGTCATCTAAAATAATGTGTATTTTTTTACCTTTAAATCAAATCATTTTAGGAATACATTCCAATTGATGCACCTGTCGGATATAAAAACAGATGAATTAAAAATAAAAAGACGCGTTGAAGAGATGACAACTTTCAAAAGGATCAAACAGGTGTTTGCAAACACTACAACGACCCTTGTTCATAATGTATGTTTATTTGCATCAAGTCAAGATATTTTTAAAGTACAAAAATGTTTTTCTTCTCAAAATGCATTGATCAACACTGCATGGATAAATCAATCACGATTTACTCATAATTAATATCCTAAAAATGTTGAATCACACAAAGTCTGGTGATACGGTCATTTACACCTACACTTTGTCTTTTTCTGTCAGGCGAGGAAAAAAGGAAGATGGCGAAACTCCAAGACACAATGCAGCATTATGGATTACGGCTGCTAAGATTATTACTGTATATGTGTGTTAATCAGTGATGATGGTAATATACTTGCTATGTAGAAGCTAGCCAACATACCCGAGGGGTGAAGAACTGTTTACACGAATGTACCGATCGTGAGAGATAGGCTACAGGGTGTGGTGAGATGTAGATCCTGATACATAGCACAGTGGGATTTCTGTTCGATTATGTATCATTAAATTGACATATACACCAGAAAACCCGCAAAACTTCTATATATTTGCAATAAAATCTAAAGATAAAGTCATGCGTCTATTGACTCTTGATCAGCTGATGAGTGTATATACGACGTGAATTTCAGAGAGAGAGAGTGAGAGAGAGAGAGAGAGATCTATTTAGCAAAATAACGTTTTCATCAACCACATGCTATTCACATTACATTCTATATACAATGACAGTTACGCTGTAACGCAACGTACCTAATTAGTACACAGTGCATTAATCAAAACCCCTCGCTTGTCACATATGTCCGATAAGGTCAAAAGGTAAATAAATCCTTACCTATATCATATCTTTCAAGTCCTTGAAATGGTATTCCATTTCATCGATATAATAATATCCGATTCCCGTTATTCGCTGCACACTTTTTCTTCGTATTCCACCTTCACAGAATAAGTTCATGGGTGGGTGAACTCGGGTGTGAGCGAGATGGTTTAAACTCAGCGGTCACTCGTAGGACAGGTTTTCGCCAATATTTTCGTTTCGCATTAAAAGTCTCTCCTAATCCGGATTTTTTTTTCAGTACAGTAAACAGTCTGCTTGACAATTTAAAACTCATTGGAAGTCACTGGTGGGTTTATCGGTCATAAATTGATACCTCCGTATATTGGATCAATCATAAAGCATACAAAAATTCGATTACTTCGAACGGAATCTATTATTCACAACACCAAAACCATATTAGATTTCGTCTGCAGACTCAATTTATCCCCATTGTGTAATACGTCAACACTAGAAAGCTACTGTGAAAAACATTTTCCTTCTGGTTAATGGTAATACAGATAATACAGATAATTCGCAGCCAACAGTTGTCATAATCTGAATAGTGCTACAGTACTTGACGAAGGATGCTAATACTTAATATTTCTAAGCAAATGATAAAATAGAATGCATCATCTAGAACTACGTCAAAATTCAAACAAGGATATTTAAGGTTTAAAAAAATTTTTTTTTCTTTTTAAACTAAACTAAACTTGCATGCATGATTGTTCTTTTATCTGTTCATGCACAATTTAATCCATACAATAAATCGCTGTTGTGAAATTCCCAACTCTTTCTGTAATCTGCACTTCCATGCGGAACACAAATTAGAAAATATTTACACGTAGTACTCAAACAGGGAAAAAGCAATCCAGTCTTTCCAAGTGGAATAAAAACAGAATTCACATACGGGATAAAAAACAGTACAGGTATATCATACACAAGTGGTTTTATCCATGAACCGAGAATTTTAGATTGCACAGCGAAATCCCAACGGAAAAAAGACAGGATCCACCAATCGCTAATTAGATAACACTGGAGACAGTCGACCTGTCTTCGTCCAGGTCGTAAATAGCGCCGTCCGTATCATGGCTCGCATCCCTCCATAAGTCGCCGTTAATTTATGCTGACAGTAGCCTGTTATATTCGTTAATTAATGCATGTTTATCCCTATTGATTAAGTTTTCTTTACTATAAAGGAGAACACCGTGTACTGGGCACTTCTTTTGATTTGGTTAATATACAAGATCATTAAACCGAGAATTTCTTTACGTACAGTGATAAAAAGTATATTAATTAAGTTTCCAAGTCACGATTTTTCAAGTTTATTGCGACTTTTTTGGTGTCATTAATAAATTCGTTTTCATTGCCAGGTTAAAAGTTCATTTACATAAAAGAAAGTGAATGTCGAGAAATATTTTCAGTTAATTCATTAGTGACAGGTTTTTCGGAACAAATATCAATTTTAAAAAAAACATATTTTACATTGTTGCCTTCTTAATTAAAAATAGTTACGATTCAGTTTTGGTATTCTTGGTTAATTGCACAAAAATATAAAATTTTTAAAAACAATGTTTAAATAAAAAAAAAAATCTAATCAAGTCTTTAAATAATTTTCAAATGGTATATTTGGGATGTAACTAATTCTACCCACATTTCCTTGATAGCAAAAGCAGTTTTTTTTTCTTTAAAAATTATTAGAAATATTACAAAAAAGATGAATTAGAAGAGTACCACTTTTTGTTAAATTGTACAAAATACTCGAATTCAGATCAGATTATTTACTAGTATTAAATGCAACCTAACTTTGTCAGATTTAGAAAGTGTAATTTTCCTTTTAACATTTTTTTCTACGCAGACCTCATATTTTTATTTATATTATTATGAAAAAAACACAAGCTGTAATACATATATTTCATTTATTTTTGTTAAAATGTTACATATAGGTCCGATGGCCGGGTGTTGGAATAAAAATGTTTTCCATCGTATTGTACATGTATAAAACATGTCGATGTAGTAAACAATTTACTAAGTTACTCACTTACATGTAAAGGCTTATAGAAATTCAAAATGGTTTAAAACATTTATTTTTTAATGCATGATAAAAAGGGTGTTGAGATGCCCTTTTATAATTGCATCTGTAAGCAAAAGTACATTATACAGGGCAGAAGTTACTACTACATATATATATTAAAGCATAACTGGCTAAAGCTACAGATTTCCCCCAAAGCTTGTATTTAAGGAATAAAAAAAAAATTACTGTAAAATTAATAACTCTGTCTCAAGTTTCAGACGAGCTGTTTTTTATGTTATAAAGGAATGTAAAGGGAAATAATTGGTAGTCTCACTGCATGTGTTCAGAACTCAAGAACAATCGCATCTTCTCGGGCCTTTCCGACTAGCGGAAAAACGACCTCGAATGTATATGGTAGCCGCCATGACAACCCTCCTTTTTCACGATCTTGGAAATAAATGCTATGGAATATGGAGTTTAACTTTATTCAATGTAATGGTACTACCTAAAATATACCATAGAAGGGACCTCTTACTCCGTCTATCCTATATTTGAATAAACAGGAAATGTATAAATTTTTAACATCCGGTGATGTTAATACATTCGAGGTTGTTTTTCCGACCTCTAACGGAAAGACCCGAGATGATGCGATTGAACTCAAGAACACGCAATATACATGTATGTAGGAAAGATAACTCATCATCTCACACAATGGCAGAAATTCAGCCTTGTTACCGTTCCTGATGTTCAGGAAAAAAGAATTTAAAAACGCAGAAAACATATTTTGTATGGAATGGTTTTATTACAAAATGTTAATGATGGTAGGTGGACAGTTTTCATTGAAAAAAAAAATGTATAAAAAATCGATGCTTTTTCAAAATATAAATTTATTTGATAAACTAAAAAATTTGTTCCTAATTTGAGGACTGGAGTTGACTTTTGGTGCTGTAGGCAAAATACCAAACAAGGATAGCGATGAAAACAGCAACGAATTCACTCTGTACCATGGGGCCCTTCCATACTCCCTGCAAGATACAAAAGTAATTTTTTATTTTCTATGTCAATTTGACACAGTTTAAAAAAAAAATGTTAAAACAGTGACTACACATAATCATCAATGATAACACAGTACAAGTTAATAAGCAAAGTCATTGGAAGCAATATAATTGAAATTCTCTTTCTCTATTTGTGTATTTATATTTCATTTAAAAAATTGGTAAAATATGAACTGTTTGTTGTCAATATTAAAATATTCCATAAGGGACAATTAACCCTGTCTCCATCTCTCCAAATATAAAATCATATAAATTCCAAGAAGTTTTCATACTTGAATGATTCACAAACAAACGTTAACCCCTCCTTTTTTAAAAAAAAAGTTTCTTAAACAGTTTTGAAACCTGATGCACAAACAGCAAACAGAGGTGAATTACACAGACTTACTGGGTGGTTACATGTAACAGTGATGGTTGTGAGGGGTAATTGACTTACTGAGTGGTTAACAGTGATGGTTGTGACAAGTAATTGACTTACTGGGTGGTTAACAGTGATGGTTGTGACAAGTAATTGACTTACTGGGTGGTTAACAGTGATGGTTGTGACAGGTTTGATGGCGTCGGTTGACTCCCCACTCCTCTGGGCTTTCCTAAGGGCAGAGTATCCCTCCTCATCGTACAGACGGACCTGGTATTTACCCGCCGGCAGCTTCTTGTGATCATCACTGATGCTCACCTGTTGGTAATTTTGAAATTTTAACAGAGCTCTTTATTTCAACAAGGAGTTTCCATCAAAATAGTTGCATTAAATTGAAATTTTTAAGTTTTTGGTTTTTCTTTTACACGAAAAATTGAATCAAATATGAAAATGGTTTTAAATTTTATTTATTTGATTGACTTCAAAAGATTATAATCTAAAATAGAAGAGATTGTACACTTTGAGATACATAGTATTTCTCAATAACACCAATGCACTATTGCACATTCACTTGAATATTTTTCAGGCACGTAACAACATGGGGGGCAAGGGGGTCCTTTTTTAATTTCCCTTTTTTTTTTTTTTGCTTGTCAACTTTCTAGGTAAGTAAAAAAAAATTTCTAAGGTTGGCCCCTCCACTTTCAAAAACGATGCTACGTGCCTGTTTTTAAAACTAATTTCAATACATACATATGGATATTGCTAAAAAGGTTTTGTTTCTTTCATATTTCATCTTATTTGGCATAATAAGATTCTCTCTCTTTTATTTATTTATTTATTTTTGGAATTTTTCAAATTCTACTTACCTGGTAGAAATCAGGTTTATCTGTTTTTGTAACTGGTAAAGTTTTTCCATTAATTTCAGCATACAAATTCATATCCTGAAGATAGTTAAAAACATTACATGTTAACATGGATAACAGTGAACCACAACATAACCTAAAGGTTTCAACTGAACATTAATTTTACTTTATAAGGTTAACAATATTGTAAAATGAAAAGCATGACTGTACATATTATAATAGGTTTTTTTTTCTTTATCAAAATGGATATTTAAAAAAGTAAATATTACATTAAACATATGACATGATTATTTTTATTCTTCTTCACTCGAAATCAGATCAAAATCTTAATTTTAGAGAACCTTTTGATTTAATAAAAGGGAAGCATTTTTATACAAAGCTTTGTCGTCTTACCCTGACTTTATTTTGACAGGCAAGTGTAAATTGTACAATAAATACAGTTTCTGTGGAGACAATGGCTTCTGTTGTTGTATAGGTTTCAGCCTTGACCTCTGGTGATGTACAAGTATTTCCTATCAAAAACAGAATTTGTTTAAACAAACGCTCAACAGAGTAAACATATATTCAGAACATCAGCATAGATTTCAAATGTTTTGATACATCTGACAGTGTTTTTGTGATGCATCATTTATATATGCATCAAATGAATAGGCCTACTATTAAACTTCACACATAACATCTGGATTCAGTTTCCACATATGTCCACATATTAATAAAAAACCCTATCATTTCAAAAATTTTGTAACTAAACAATCATATGGATGATGTTTACAAAGATCTCTGATTCCATATATACAACTATTACAGTTCATTACAAAATTCTGACTCACTGCATTGTACGAATGTTAAGACAGCGCGGTATGGTGATTTACAAATGTAGTGTCAACATGGTCAAGGTATTCATTTAAAAAGCATAAGGAGTGGCGTTATGAGAAAAACAATTTAGGGTATAAAAATATACTTGAATTTAAAGAGGAATTATAAATAAGGACCGATTCGTTCTGAAAATTTGCAGTAGAAAAGGGATCTTCTACTGTACTTCTGTAGCAGAGGAAATTCGATTCTGTGCCACGTATGGCACTTGCAGTTTGGCATTTCAAGACTTGATGATTAGCCTTTACTCCAGGGTGTTTTTCTTCAAGAAAAAAAAAACTTTTCAAAACAAATGGTAACAGTTACCTAATACGAGGAAGGGAACGACGAGCAGAACCAGTAAGGAAAACATTTTGCCGGCGAACTCCATCGTCTTCGTTTACACTGAAACAAAAGCGGAAGTAGTGGACGTGTCAGGATAATGCAAAGTAACTCGTACATGGACTGACTCTAGAAAACTTTTTCGTCTCCTTCTCTGCTTCTTTGTTAAAGATAAGTGTACTAACGATAAATTTTAAATTTAATAGTTTCTAAAATTTAAAATATGGGCATTATACATGTAGTCTTACATGTAACATTTAATTTAATACCGAACAATGGAAAACAAAGCTAACTGAAAAGTAGTGCCCCTAATTAAATAAAAGAAGAAAAATAGAAGTAAGTATATGGCTGAGCCTCTTAAATTGAATTTTTTGTTCTCTTGGGAAGAAATTTAGCTTGACACCCCACCCCCCATTCATCATGAACATGGGTCAATGAATAAAGTACATTACGCTGAAATAACAATTTCCAAAAAACATAAATTTTTGGAATGAGGGAATCAATATTAATATTATTTTCATGCTAAATTTAAAGACAAAACCTGCTTCGGTGAAAAATGGAAGGATTGACTGAGGCATGCAGCCTCCTTTCAGTTTCTTCTACGTACGTGCCTATATATAGAATTTATAACCTCAATTTAGCAACATTTTATCCGTATATTTACCATGTCCTATTTTTGTGAAATAAACATCTAAACATGTAATGTTCCCAGGATCTCACTCTGAAGTAAATTAAACCAAATCAGGGGTCATTAATCTGACACCGGAAAACGCCCACCCCCGGGGTCCCGCAGGTACTCAGACGAAGTAAGGGTCATTTATACAAATGTCCTTAAATTAAGAGACAATAAAAGCTAGTTTATTTCTATTGTGTATGTCCGTGATTTTCACGGTGAAGAGACTTGGGATCATTAAATTCAAAAACTCCACAGGAAAACTTTAATGTTGTACACATGTATTAAACAATGTTCACAGACGTTGACACGGAAACAGCTGTTTGCTATGGACAGGAAATGTGTCTTTTTCAAAACAGATTTTTTTTTATTTCCTTTAATTTTTCTTTTATAATTGATATGTTTGTTGTGTTGTTTTCCTCATTATGATTTTTTTCTGATGAACGAAAACTGAAAAAAAAACTTATGGAAATTAATTTTCGAATGGAAATAATTTCGAACAACAAAAGTAATTTATTCTAAGAGCATATATTTTTTTGAAATTTATTATCGAATCAAGAATGAAATACCGGTACGTATATGCATTGCTGTTACTAATAAATAACATTTAAAATATAAGGGACGCGGTCGTTTTAATATTTATAGTCTTTTACCAATGCATCACCCAGAATCCCCAAATGCTGCATGCATGCATTGATTTAGCATTTATCAAAACTAATAATTTATAGTCTATGGAGTATGGTATAAAAAACATAAAAAACTCTCATAGGAGTGTTAACGAATGGATCACATAAAAATTAAGAATATACGTCCACGTACCAAACGATCATATTTATCAATCATGGCATCATTTACAAAAAACTTACAAGTAAAAAAACATACATACAATGCAGTAGAATTGTTCTACTTGAAAAAAAAACAAAACAAACAAAAACATACAAACAGCTAGTGTTAAGTCAGGAAATTTGACTGAGCTTGATTTTTCCTCTTCCTTACCCATATAACGAATCGACGAACATTTGACAAGTTTTGATTTCTAATCTTCATCGATTTAGAGAGGAAACGCAGTTGCACAGGAAAAGGTCTACTTGAGAAAATATTTATTATAATATAAAAAAAAGTTGCGTATAAACTGAAATTTTTCTTCCATTGACATTGGCAGAGCAAATGGAGACCTACGTGTATATATATGATAAACGGACTCCCCGTATATAATACTCAAAACTGGCAAGGCTTGTTTGTATGTAGTGACTCGTGTAAGTATATTAAGCTGGATAAAAAAAATCTTATCTCGCAGGAACGGGAAATTTAAAACGTTCTGTGATGGCCAGGTTTTAATCAAGGGGCGCCAATGTTTGATGACATCTTCATTCTGTGAGCGAGCCCCAAGCGTCTCTGTGCATCGATATTCTTCAGGTGTAATTTACCTGTGAACAGCTGATCGATAGCAATGCGTATTTACATAAGGAGCGCACACTCGGAGTTCAATGGTAGTGACCTTTTCTGCGGCTTTAGGAAGTTTTCAGACAGACTAAGGATTATTCAGTGTCGTAATTTTAAACTTGTTTTGATATTTTTATCGGATGTACACTAACATGTATATAAAAAAACAACTTTGTTCTGTTTAGGACAGACGACGTGAAATTAAATATTTATATTTTTTCCTTGATTTAGACCACAGTGATTAAGCAAGCAGTGTTTTTCCTGTCATTTTTCTTAACGAATATTTGGACGTATATTATAAATACAGACTAATTTAGGACAATCATTAAAGCACTTCACATTCGAAGGGGGAAAAAATGGCTTAAAGTTGACTCTATAGATGACATACTGCGATAATTTCCGACTCAAAGGAAGCTCGTTATGTATTGACAACTGAATGGGTCGGTTCACTTGTTTGAAATAGAGGAGCATTCATCAGCTAAAGTACTCGGTGCTTGTATTTGTCCATCAGATATCTGGAACTCAATTACATTCAACGATGAGCAGCTATATAACCCAATAAAACAGTTTTTGCCTGATATTATAAAACTGTGAACTACTGTGAATATATATCTATAGCATGCGGAGTTTATTATTCATAGACAGGTAATTTTTTTATTTGCATTAGCATTAGACGTTTTTTTCTATATAAATAGATATAGGTATACGTGTATATATGAAAGTGAAGGTGAAACCAACTTAAAACTCTTCAAAAAGGATTTATGATGTAGAACCAAGGTAATTTTTAACGTTTACCTTTTAAAGGGACTTTACATACTGAATTTCTGTCTATATATTTGAATATTTGAGGAAGGAAATTAAAGGTATGTACATTTATTTTAGAAGTACAAATTATGATACATGTATATTTCATTTTAGACCATTGACTTTCTTTGCAAACACCCATATTCAGAAGGAAAAGTAATCAGTGTATTACTAATGGGTAAGGGGCAATAAAACGTGTACGAACTCACTTTTGATGCAAGTCTCATTTTTACCTGAATACATGACCATATATACATGTACATATTCTTCAGTATACATGTGCATGATATTGAGGTCAAAAGTGAGCTCATCCAAGATATATGGCCCCGGAGCCAGATTTGAAATGAATCCTCCCAAATGTCACGTATATACAATGTATTTCTAAAAATTTTCCCCATCTCGTACTTATCACTGTCATGTACGGGACCGTACGTTGATGGGAATTTAACACTTGTTTTCGATTTGAATATGAAAAGTGCCTTAATCTTGTTTGTACAAAATATTTTTGACCCGTCTCTGAGAAGATTGCACTGTTTGTTTTAACAAGAAAAGATTTACTTTATGAATGTAAAAAGGAATTTTAAAAATGCTAATTAGGCTATTTATGTGGCAAGGAAGATACCAATAACACACTGTATATCTGTAACTGTTTCTGTTGGTTTTACTATTTTAAGTTTTTTTAACAACCATGATTTCGATCTCTCTCTATCTCTCTCTCTCTCTCTCTCTCTCTCGTGATTTAAATTTACAGACGAAGTCACTAGACAAAATTGCTTAGAACCAAGTAGTCACTTCCTTTGCAATACACCCCCCTCCCGAAGGAAAAGAAACTTAATATGCGCGTTTTCTTTTCTTTTTTTAATTATAATTTCACTTGATTTTTTTTTCAGCTCGCATTTACTAATTACAAAATTCTGAATGGAAAGGCAATAAATTTGTTTTCGATTTTTTTTAAAAAAGGCCTGAATAAGTGCTAAAATGTGTTTCAACCAGTCAAATTTTACTTGATTATTTGCTGCAGAGTTTTGATTTTTTAAAAATGAAAATAAGCAGAAATAATATGAAAATTTCAATTATTTCCAAATATTTTGGAATTAATATACCATTTCTGGTATTTTCCTATGATTATATTTTAAGAAGCTTTAATTGTTCAAATGCTGTAAATGCACCACTTGCTGTAAAAGACTCCGGATCCCCCTTCCGCGATGAAGAGGTTAATGTAAAATTACCTAGTACAAATCTTCAAAGTGGCCGTAAGGAAATGAAGTGTGCAAGATTATATCAAATACTCAAAAGATATATAGGTCCCTGACCTTCAAATCAAATGAATGTATGGTGTTTATAATATAGTGCCTATTGCAGTCCTGATTAAATATGAATTGGCCACACATTGGGAAACTTGGTAGACGCCTCGCTAAATGACCACCGACTAGACACACTAATTGAAAATGTATAATACATAGGAAACAGATGACCCGGTTATTCAATCAATAGTATACGGTAATCTGAAGGCAATTGGCAATATTAATACGTGAAATTTATGTGGAAAAATCAAAGAATCGATATTTTATCATGCAGTGTAATGGTTATTGATAAGTTAAATTTTTATCACCAGTGTTATTGGCCGGATTTGTAACCAGAGAGTACAAATATAGCAAGTTGATTAAAATTAATATCTGTACATCTGACATACTCATTTTCAGGAAGAATTCATTAAAAGTCTCTATTAAAATTTATAATTAACCGACAAATGAACCACAGTCTCTCTTATACATATGTAAAGGCATATTAAATATTTTTAATGTTCCACATGTAAAACTATAGCCTTTTAAAAAAAGTTTTTATTTCAAACATTTTAGAAATTAACAACACAAAATATATGTTGATGTATATCATTTACATATCAACATTTGAGCCGAATGAACTTAAAACAGTTGGTGCGATGCGGTCGTGGGATAGACGTTTGTATATATAAATAAAATTTCTGGGATGAAATTTCATTAAAGAGAGTTGCGATAATATTTTTTTTTTCAGTGAAATCATCATGAACTTGCGCGACTGTATAAATTTAACACAACGCCCAGTTTCAAATAAATCAGTTTATATGCATATTTCATTTACCACCCACCAGAGTTGCACCTAGTTAGATTAGATGGTTCGGTTTTTCCTGCAAGAATGTTCATACGTAAGGCGCTTTCACTTTTGACAATATTACGACACACGCACGGTAGGAAGTTATTGAATGAAACAACTGAATGAGAGAATTTTGGCGGCCTTCTGAATTGAACACACGCGTTTTCAATTAGCACGCCTTTCCATTGGTGTGGGAACATCGTGTGTATTTTTGCAATTCAATTACCATACTTCGCCTGACTTATATAATGATATCACTACATACACACCATGGGAATTTATTACCATCGGCAGTTAATTATTGGTCGACCATTCTATAGTTAATCAGATGGATATTAGTGTAGATATATTTAGACATTCGGATAATGTGTATATCCGATTTTGTGCTTATCAACTTGGAGTATGTATCAACATATACTATAAGGTGTGAAATGTAGTCAAATATTTTCATTGCAGTTTTCATCAGGAAGGAATTAAAGATACATCCTTGTCTAACTGACCCATCATGGGAGGCAACTTGAGTTGTGCCGTGAACAGGAGGGGCGTAAAAGACCCGGATCACCTGCCCTATGGAGCTAAAGGGACAGAACTCGCCCCTAATTTACTGACAGGTAAGTAAATTTAAAAGTTTTTATCTTTCATCACCTTTATTTCAATTCAGCCAGATAAGTCCATGTATATTGTAGATAAAATGATAAAGGCACACTTTTAAACTTGACTGTCAACCTCTTTAAATTAATTTTTAAACTATGTATACTGAAGTGGCTTAAACATTCTGACATATGTGGCTAATAGCTATTAAAACTCGTCAGGTAACAGGTGTGCTCTTGTTCATTAAGGGATTCTTTATCCTTTGATCTGGGGATAAATGAATGTGAATTGTTAAAAAAAAATACAAGAGACTTAAGAATTTAAAAGAAAGAAAACAAAAACTTTTGAGACCAAGGCATGTCTTAAGTTTTCAACAATTCAGGGCTGTCTTTTGTTGACATACAATGATGATAAAGCCGCGATAGCTTTTAACGAGTGTCTTGTCAAAAAGAAATAAATATATAAATAGAAAAGAAAGCAAATATATCGTTTGTGTGAAAAAGCAGTAAGATTTGGCATTGATTTGAATTTTTGAAAATCCTTGATACCTTTGATTCTTCGAAAAGGACGTATTTGTAAAATCTTCTAAAAGTCTAAGTATTCATTATGTTCATTGTCCGTAATTAACACGATATTATAATAATTAATGATATACGTGTCTACAGACTCCCACATATAATAAACTAAAAGTGAGCAGGATTTCCGTTTTTCACACAACAGAAGTATACAACTGAATTTTTAGAATTGGTTTTTTTTTATTAAATCAAAGAACTTCAAAAGCGGTTATGACGTCACGAATTCAGGAACTGACATCGATTTGCCATTTTCCTGATTTCTTTGGGGACATTAGACCCTTTGAGGAGAATCTTCAAAATCTATATTTAATAACAATAAATCACAACAAAACCTACTCAATTTTTCCTGTCACTGAAATTAGACTTTATGGTATTGCACTCGATTTTTTTTTTAATTCTGGTAAATGTCCTATTAAGTTCTACTGCTGCTATCTGCTGCTCTAAGCAGGAAGCTATTTTCGAGGATTGTTTTAAGTATTCTTCCATGAAACATTAAACATGCCGAAAATTCTGCCATCACATGCATTTATTGCAGAGAAACGAAGCGATGCGTCAATAATACCTGATTTGTACTTTAATGTTATTGCAGAATGACTTAAAGGGAATCTATATGGCTCGTCGCATAGTGGTACTGTAGGAAATGAAATAAAGTGCACGTGAAAATCAAAACTAGGCAATATTACATACGTTTACTCATTAGCAAACCAATTATAAGGACAACTTAAGGAGGCTATAAGTGTATATGGTTTAAAGTAACTGATGGGTTTTAATTTTGAGATAAATTCATCGTTTATATGAAATTATAGTATAATACAATTTCAAATTTTGCTTCAATCCTAGGGAAGATAAAGATAGGAAGATAAAAATGTATCACCCTTCATGTTAAATTGTTTCAGTCTGTAGGGATATGCAGGTAGGGAATTCGAGGTTGAAAAAATGTTGCGCCTTTCCCCCTGTCCATCACGAAGCTTTTTCTGTATATCTATGGTCCAGATGCCATGCATTTGTTAGCGCTTCATGGTGCCCCATACAACCTCATTAACGTACATTATTGTCTTACAGCGCGCACCTGTTTACAAAAAAAGTTACTCCAAAGTGTTTTGTTGATCTTCTCCATGTAGCTCTGGTTTCGGTGCTCTCAGGTTTTTATAGAATCATCAGGCCCCCAGATAACGTTTTTTGATCTATCCATGTTTTAAAAACCGGGACAAAATTAACATCATATTTGAATCTTGTTCATAAGAAAACATGTGATGAAGATCTTATGTTTAAGATTATCTTCAAGATGTTAAGTATAATAAGATTTAGGGATTTCTGAAATATGGATACTTTGTTGTGCATTCCTGGGTTGAACATCGGGCGCCTCAAAGTCTACTTTATGTGGTACATATATTACCAAGCTCAGTGCATTTCCCTTTTCCTTAATTAACCCGAAATATGATTATAATTTTCAAACAAAGTTCCAAGTAATCAAAAACAAGATTTATTTTGGGAGTGGTTTTTAAGAGTATTATATAATTATTTATTGCTCTGTGATTTTATTTTTCGACAGTAACTCTGTTTGTTTTATGTGTTCTAAAATACATACAACATTCTAAAAACATTTTATTGATTTTGTTCTTAATCATATTAATTGGGAGTGGTACACTTCAGTAAGCAGATACAATATCAATGGTATCTCTGTACATGTATATGTAAGAAGAGATTGGATTGAGGTTTTCTGATCTAGTAATACCAGTACTAAGATTACAGTGAAGTTTGTCTACCCGAATGTTACGTATTCCGAAGACTTTCCCTATATATACATACACAACGAATTCGCTAAGTTTCTTTCAGTATAAATACAATTCTTATCCGGAATGTTGTTTCTATGGAACCAGTAAAGTTCGATCGAATTAAAACAAATTTTACTGTACTGTATTATATTGGCAGATGAAAATAAAGGTTATAAGGTTAATAAACCTGCAACATAATTGCAGCTAGATCCCCCCACCCCGTTTTTTCAGCTACACATCTCCCCCTGGAGGGATAGGCGTGCGTTTTGGAGTTTAAGATTTAATTTTTTCTCAACAAAAGAAAATAGTATTTTAACTTGGAAATCTCATCAGGAGAAATTATTTTCCTAATTTTGCGATACAAAGAAAAATGGTAATACTAAATACATGTATATAATATTTACACAAACACTCTCTGTACACTATATTATAGCACTAGTTACACTCTGTGTTTGTATATGTAATATTTCAATAAATATTGCGCAAATTAATGTCCGGGTTTAGAGATTCTAATTTCACGACCATCCTTTAGGATTTTTATACTTATTAGAAAACGTAATTATTCAGGTCTATTTTTAACACATTAAAATTGAAAGTTTAGGTTGACACACAAGGAAATATATCGCATCAAACACTGTAAATTCTTATCAACACTTAAAGTGCTAGGCACGCTGAGGATTAATATAATCTACATATAAACAGATACACATGCAACTTCATATGAGCTTAAAAACGATGAGACATATTAGGACATTTTTATTTGCCTTTGGATTATGATTACATGAGACGTATTAGATATGTTTCATCTGCTTCCAAAAGTTCTGCGACGCGGACTGTCACGTGACGACCTATTCTCTGGTGGGTAAATTGCATAATGTCTCTGAATATTTGTAATACGTTTAATAATTTCTATTACGCCATTTTATTGATTTTGCTACCCTGTATTATGCCTGGTTATGAGTCAATTATTATTTCCATAGACAAAAAATGTTTGCATTCTGTATATTTAATTTTCTTGAAGGAAGAATTCATATGAAAAGTGGAAAGTAAATTAAGTTTTGGTTATCATCAATTGGACTGCCATTAGATTTTAAAAATGTATAAAGTCGCACAAAAATAGAGCAATTAAGGCAGAGGAAACTGGATAGGATGGCCATTGGATTTAAATTAACAGTGTCTTCGTGTTCTTGCAGAATCCATAAAAATCAATCAAAAATCCCGGTATCCGAGCTAATGTTTTATTTATTCAGGCCCTGATACGAAGTACTCGCCATCTTGTATCAAACACACCTTGTGTTTTGTCAGCTATCCGGTGTTTCTGTCTAATATTAATCGATACCATGGTAGAGGCAGCTGTCTCTGTAGACGATATCGATCTTCTATCACAGAAGAGTCCATTCCACTTTGTTGGCTAGCTCCGGGACTGTGTAGGGAATTTGTTTTAATATTCTTAGTAATGTTATGGTAAGTGAATGAACCTGATGAGATTTTCTATTGTGCATTAATTTGTACATTAATAACGTTAGATAGGCAATGACCCCTAAATATTGCTGTATTAAATGTGATCGATTATTTGGTTAGCTTTGCATAGATGTTAACAATTTACATGTACTACCGACGGTATTCACTTTTCACATTCTTTAGGGTAGCACCTACCCTAATTTTTTCTTCAAAAAAGCCCGGTCTTTCGGATGAGACCATTTAAACAGAGGTTCCGTGTTGCAATAGGTGCTTGCACGAAAAAGATCCCTCCCTGCTGATCAATGACCCTAGGTGCCGAGTATAGGACAAACTTTGCAGCTCTCTACCGGCAAGTGGTGGCGTCTCCATATGACTGAAAAATTCTCGACAGGGACGTTAAACAATATACAATCAATCAATTAAACAAGTCCATAGGAAGCAATTTCAATTGGGGGAGGGATACAGTCATTTCAGTTTCAGGTGGGGGTACTATCAACTACCAAAACCTTAATTGACGTCAATAAAAAGGTCCCCTGTACCCCTGCGGTTCCTACGACCATGCCCAACTTTGCATTTCGCACTCTCATCTCAGAGCTCTTCAGTTTTTTTGCATGAATACATTGTGTTTCTATCACATTAGATGTAAGTATTCTTAGCATATACAAAATTCCTTATAAGTCAATTTCAAAATTACTCGATTATCAACAAGAATAAAAAATCATAAATACTATATATATGTTATATTTCGCTTTCTAAACATTCATGTCAAGCTAAAATTATACATGTTCGAAAAATGAGTACACTGTTTTATCCGAAAACTGTTTCTTCTCCTACATGTATCGACCAATTATTAAAAATGTTAATTGCTCTTAGATTACATCAAAGACCTCGTAAAACATTACAATCTGTCATTAGCTCATCAAAGACCCAGGATAAAATAACATTCAACAAGTGAACTAAATCAGCAACACATGTTTGTTAGGTTACCGGCAAAAATAACAGTCAATTTACCAAGGTAACGTCTGTCTGGAAACAAACATACAAGACAGACATAGAATGTCATTCATTGTTAAAATCCGGGATCTGACCAGAAAAAAATGTCACGTGGTAGCAATTTACACGACTTGTGTTTTAAGGGTTTTTTTATGCCTTCTGCAAACTTTTACTTTCTTTCGTGCTGTGATATTCGACAGTGATGACACTGGGTATTTTTAGCTGCAGCTAATGCATCATTATTCTCTTTCTGTATCGAGCTTTTGCATTGTTTCATTGATTTTGTTGGATGCTGCCAGAAAGTTTGGAGTTAGTCGATAGAACGGGAGGTTTTTAAGATTCTTTCTTTTCTTAGTCATGCAGATTTTTTCACGGGAATTAAGACAAAATTACCGTATTGTCAACTGATGTTTTCAGTAAAGGTGTGACATGCTCTAAATCCATGTGGTTATACGAGTGTTATGAAAAGTTTTGAAAGTTGATGATTCTGCAAATTTTCAGTCCAATGGATGTTTGAAGTCACAATTCAAAATATATTCTTACGTTGTGACATTTGGAATATCTAGATTGTCCACTTTCTCTTCATCTATAATGGGATTACTTTACTGAACTTTGACATTTAGAAAATGAGTGGTTGTTTTGTCTTTGTAAATCGCCAATTGTTTGGCGGATCAAACTATAATTGTCGGCGGCACGAACAAGAGGCCTGGGCAGAGCAATGGGATTTTACGGACGAAGGTCTTTAATTCTTTTGTTTTCGAAAAAAAAAATTAATGTTCTTTTAAATATGTTGTATTCATACTTTATACATTATACAGCCTTTATTTCCTATTTCATTATCATGATAATTTTGTTCCTGTTAGTTAAACATATTAGATTTAATTATACGCAACGTGTAATAAGACCTATCTTCTACGAAGCGTTTAACTTGATGTATATTGTTTAATGGTAGTTCAGCCCGTTATGCGTCTTTCCAAACCGTAGGCAATTTTCCTGTGCATCGATTTTATGAAATGATGCAATGCATTTGTTATCCCGACATTTATTCATAATTTTTAGAGCCTTTCTGGTATTTAGCATAATTGATCCCAAAAAGTTGTTTTGTTTCACAATCACTTTCTTCTTTTGTCAGATATACCTGATGAAGAAACATCGAGATGGAAATTTTGGCAAAAACTTCACTTACGTCGAAGTGATCAAAAGCAAAAAGAACTTGAAAAGTTGAGATCAGACCTAGAAAATGGCAACCTTCCGATAGTTAATGCTTCGCAAATTGAAGAGGAGACCGGAAGACCTCATCGGAGCCATAGTTTGAGACCTCCCCCTAAACCCCCAAGAATGTTTCTTTTCCGGTCTTCATCGATCAGTACTCCACAGAATTCTGCTGTGATAAATCCAGGATCAGAACGCAATTCATTCATCATGTCCCAAGCTTACCAAAATTCTCGTACCCGTGACAATGCTAATATCCCAACCGCACACGTAGCACCAGTGCGCCAGGAGATTCCCGTGCAAACGAATGAAAATAATAATGACATTCTGGATAAAAAGGAGGAGGTTATTAAAAATGTAGACGAAGTGAAACCGATCATTTCACGACCCTCCAGGAGCGAGCAGACGATTCCTAACCGTATTAAAATCGTGACCCCTGACCTTACTCCGCGTAGAAATTTCAGTCGCCAGAGGCGTGCTTCGGAAATAGTCCCACAAGAAGAAAGACACAAACTGATAATACAGAGTTCCTTAGAACTTTTGTGTCAAAAACTTGACCCGCTGACCATTTTAAATGAGCTCAAAGAGAAAAGTGTCATTTCTGAAGAAGATATTCTGGCATTCCAAGAGCATCCCGATCGTCGGCTTGTCTGCGAAAGCATTCTTCACAACTTATTAGAGGGACCATATTCAAAGTTTTTCATTTTCTGTGATATTCTTAGAGACACCAATGATTACAAATGTCTCGCTTTGATCATGGATGTCATGAAGGATACATATGACGTCGTTTACAATATTCCCGCCATCGCTAGCGAAGAAATCCCGGTGATGGAGGAAGAGAAAACTGTAACATTTGAAATCGGGTATTACAACGCTGAAACGGGCGTTATGAAGCCTGTAGTAGAACTAGAGAAAACCAGAGACACAAGTAAAAGATTTTCTCGAGATTCTCTATTCTTCAAGAGAGCATCGCGTCTTTCATACATGTCTGTGTCAAGCGAGGGACGAGGAAGTGACGATTCGGTCTTGATAAATCATGGAACCCCTGTGATCAACATTTGCATTTCCGGACATTCCTTGCACGAAGGTCGAGCCCGAGCTCTGGCAAAGGTTGTGAGTAAGTACAACTGTATTCTCGAGCTACGGATTGGCAAAACCCAACTGACGGGACGAGACATTGGTCACATGTCCCAAGCAATCCAATCAAGTGCGAGCCTGACTGTCTTAGATCTGAGATTAAATTCGATCGGAAACGAAGGAGCACGACTTTTAGCCGTACCACTAGCAAAGAACACACATTTACGACAACTTAATATATCCTCCACTGGGATCGATCATGAGGGCTGTAAGAACTTATCAGATGCCCTGAAACAGAACAACACGCTTACAGATCTAGATATGAGTTTTCTAGAGATCGGAGACAGTGGTTGTATTTGTTTGGGCAATATGCTAAAGCAAAATAAAAGTATCAGTAAACTGCGCCTCCGCAGCTCCGGGATATCGTGGA